CAGGAAGCTGAAAATTCGGGAGAACGTTCCCTATCCACGTGCGACCCCGCAAATTTAAATTCAGCCTCCCCGTACCCGTGGGAAACAAGTACGGCCCCGTAAAAGTTTGGGCGGGTAAAACTATTATCACGGAAACCACGGAAGCTAGAAGGCTAAAATTTTGTGGGCATGCCCTCCGCCCATGTGCTACCCAGAAAATCAAAATTCAGCTTTCCCCTGCCCACGGGTAACATGGCCGCGTGAAAATTTTTGACGGGTAAATTATTCGGGAACCACGGAAGCTAAGAAGCTGAAATTTTACGGTAATGACTCCCTAACCCCGCTCGACTTTGCCTATTTAAATTCAGTGTTCCCGCCCTCTCGGGCATCACCTACGGACCCGTGAAAGTTTTTGCGGGTAAATTATTATCTCGGGAACCACGGATGCAATGAAGCCGAAATTTTAAGGTAATGTCTTCTGTCCACATACAATCCTGTCATTTTAAATTCAGCTCCCCACGCGCCCGAGTACCACTTACGGTCCCGAGGAAGTTTCGGCGGGAAAAATAATTATCTCGGGGACCGCGGAAGTTGAGAATCTGAAATTTTAAGATGATCTCTTCTACAAACGTACGACCTCGCAAATTTGGACTCAGCCTTCGCGCACCCCTGGGTACCACGTACAGCGCCGTGAAAGTTTTAACAAAGAAGTCAACATATCGTGCGCGTGAAATTTCTAGTGGGAGATTCCGCAACTTAAGAACCAGACAACATTTCAATTATTTTTGCACAGATCAAAGTACAAAGCAGTGAAAATCATTCGCATGCAATCATTCGGTGAACGGAATTGCACAAAACACATGATCGCACCGGCTGCCCTGGTGCACGCCGCTATTATTATTATGCGTTTTGTGCTGTGCAGCACCAGTACGAAACGCATATTGTCATAAAGTTGTCTGTGTGTGTGTCCGCAACAACTTGTCCGCAACTTTCAACTTGGGGATCACAAAAGCTAGGAAGCTGAAAATTTAGACATATGTTACCCGTCCATTTGTGACTCCGCAAATTTAAATTCAGCCTTCCTGTACCTGAGGGTAATACGTACGGCCTTGTAAAAATTTTGGCGGGCAAAATTATTATTTCGAGAACCACAGAAGCTAGGAGGCTGAAATTCTGCGGGCATGTCCTTTTCCCATGTACGACCCAGAAAATTTAAATTCAGCCTTCTCCTGCCCCCGCGTGTAACACGTACGACCTCGTAAAAAGTTTTGGCGGAGAAAATTATTATCTCAAGAACCACGAAAGTTAGGATGCCGAAATTTTGGGGGATTGTTCCCTGCCCACGTGCGACCCCTCAAATTTCAGCCTTCTCGTACCTACGGATATCACGTACGGCCCTGTAAAATTTTTGATGAGGAAATTATTATTTCAGGAATCATGGAATTTAGGAAACTGAAACTTTAAGACAATGACTCCTGCTCACGCACGACCTTGCAAACAGAAATTCAACACTCCTGCGCTCTCGAATAGCATCTACGGCCCCGTAAAAAGTTTTGGCGAGGGAAATTATTATCTCGGAAACCATGAAAGCTAGTAAGCCGAAATTTTACGATAACTTCCCACGCCCACATACAATCCCACGAATTTAAATTCAGCCTTCCTGCGCCTCGAATATCACTTACAGCCCCGTGAAAATCTCGGCGGGGAAAATTATTTCCAGAACCGCTGAAGCCGCGAATTGAAATTTCAGAGTGATGTTCTCTACCAACATATGACCCCGCAAATTTGGATTCAGTCTTCACGCACCTCTGGGTGCCACGTATGGACTCGTGGAAGTTTCGGTAGAAGAATTATATCTTATGAACTGCAAAAGTTAGCTGAAATTTTAGTGTAGCATTCTCCGCCCACACATAACTCCGCAAATTTTCAACGCCCCATTGGAAGTCTTGGCGGGAAAAATCATTATCTCGGGAGCCAGAAGAGCTATAAGGCTGGAAGCTTAAGAAGGATGTTTCCTGCCTTCGCAAAAATCATTCGTAAGCAGAAAACCGGAGGTAGAAATTTTGGAAGGATATTCACCCTCTGAGGTTTCAAATTCAGTTTCCACGTACCAGTGCTGAACTTTTTCAATGAGGAACTCCGCAACTTAAGAAGCAGACAACATTTCAACTATTTTTGCATAGAACAAAGTGCAAAGAAGTGAAAATCACTGGCAAGCAATCGTTCGTTGGGCGAAATTGCACAAAACGCATTATCACACCGGCTGCTCCGGTGCGTGCCGCTATTTTTCTCATTTTTATGCGTTTTTTGCAGCTATGCAATGCAGAAAACGTATACTGACGAGGGGTTGTCTCTGTGTGTGTCTGTGTGTTCGTCTGTACCGATTTTTCATCTCGAGACCGGTAAAAGCTACAGGGCTGAAACTTTGGGGACATAATCTACATGAACTTACGGGCCCCCATCCCCGAAAATGGGCGTCTTACCTGCGTGGTACCCGCGTAAGAGCCCGCCAAAATTTTTTTCGGGTAAGTTGATAAGTCGCGAACCAAAAAAGCTCGAAAGCTGAAATTTTAAGGGAATGATCCCCGTCCAAATAGGTGCTAATGAGCTCAAACCCAACCCCCGGATAAGCGTGGCACCTGCGTACGGGCCCGCCAAAATTCTCCCCACGTAAATTCATAGCTCGGGGTTGTGAGATGCTAGAAGACTGTAACATTAAGAGGGTGTTTCTCGTCCACATTAGTCTCAAAGAGATCAAACCTAGCCCTCGGTCATGCGTGGCACCTAAGCACGGATTCACCAAAGTTCTTCTCGAGTAAGCTTATAACTCGAGAACCGTAAAGCTAAAAGACTGTAGTTTTAGGAAAATGCTCCCCGTCTGAGTAAGTCTCAACGAGCTCAAGCCCAGACATCGGGGATGCGTGATACCCGAGTGAGGGCTCGTGAAAAATTTTTTCCAGTAAATTGCTAACTCAGGAGCCAGGAAAGCAAGAAAGCTGATATTTTAAGGAGGTGTTTTCTGCTAGTTTTGGCGGCCAGTCTTAATTTGTTTAGCTAGAAAAATCTACCGAAAAAACCGATGCCGGTAGCGACAAAAACTGCGGGGAACTATGCAAAAAACGCGTCATCGCACGGACAGCCCGTGTGTTGGCCAATTATTTTTGCTCGTACTCGTAGGATACGACTCCTTGTTTTTGCTTTTTATGCGTTTTTGCCGTGCAGCGCTAGAGCGCTGCAACAGGCAGCAAAAACACATATTGGAAC